GCTGCTGGGGATCGGGCACGGATCAGTGTCTCAACTGCAAGAACTTCAACTACAATGGCACCTGCATCGCCGACTGCCGCAACATAACCAAGTGAGTCGAGACCCCCCTCCCCCAATCCTGTAGAGATCTTGCCATGCTAAACCTGCCCTCTGTCTCCCTCTTGTAGTGCCTACCAGTTCGACACGAAAACGTGCAAGATGTGTCATCCGGAGTGCCGCACCTGCTCGGGACCAGGCGCCGATCACTGCGACGAGTGTGTCCATGTGCGGGACGAGCAGCACTGCGTGTCCGAGTGCCCCGAGGAGAAGTACAGCGAGAATGGGGTGTGCCGCAGGTGCCACGAGACTTGCGAGGGCTGCACCGGGCCAAAGGACACGATCGGAGCCGGCGGCTGCAAGACCTGCAATCTGGCGATCATCAACAACGATGCCACCGTCGAGCGTTGCCTGCGGAAGGACGACAAGTGCCCCGACGGCTACTACTGGGAGTATGTCCATCCGCAGGAGCAGGGCACCCTTAAGCCGCTGGCCGGGAAGGCCGTCTGCAGGAAGTGCCACCCACGCTGCGAGCTCTGCACCAACTACGGCTTCCACGAGCAGGTGTGCTCCAAGTGCGTGGGCTACAAGCGGCGCGAGCAGTGCGAGGACGAGTGCCCGGCCGACCACTACACGGACGAGGACAAGCGCGAGTGCTTCGAGTGTCACTCGGAGTGCAAGGGGTGCACCGGCCCCGGCTCCGACGACTGCATCGCCTGCCGCAACTTCAAGCTGTTCGGCTTCCACGACGCCGCCACCTACGAGAACTCAACGCTGTTCAACTGCACCTCAAAGTGTCCGCCGGACTTCCGGCACGTGAACTACCAATCGCCCAAGATCGGACCCTACTGCGCCTCCAGTCCGCCGAGGGGCGGCAAGCAGAACGCAGGCCTGGACGTGAACATGATCGCCATCATCACCAGTGCCGTGCTCATACCGACCCTCTGCATCCTCTCCGTGGTCACATACATCTGTCTTCAGAAGCAGAAGGCCAAGAAGGAGACGGTCAAGATGACCATGGCCCTGTCCGGCTGCGAGGACTCTGAGCCGCTGCGGCCCTTCCAACATTGGCGCCAATCTCTGCAAGCTGCGCATCGTCAAGGACGCTGAGCTGCGCAAGGGCGGTGTCCTGGGCATGGGCGCTTTCGGCCGGGTGTTCAAGGGCGTCTGGGTGCCGGAGGGCGAGAACGTGAAGATCCCAGTGGCCATCAAGGAGCTGCTGAAGTCGTCGGGCGCCGAGTCCAGCGAAGAGTTTCTGCGCGAGGCCTACATCATGGCCTCCGTGGAGCATGGCAACCTGCTGAAGCTGCTGGCCGTCTGCATGTCCTCCCAGATGATGCTGATCACGCAACTGATGCCGCTGGGCTGCCTGCTCGACTACGTGCGCAACAACCGCGACAAGATCGGCTCCAAGGCGCTGCTCAACTGGTCCACCCAGATCGCCAAGGGCATGTCCTACCTGGAGGAGAAGCGGCTGGTGCATCGCGACCTGGCGGCACGCAACGTTCTGGTGCAGACGCCCTCGCTGGTCAAGATCACGGACTTTGGGCTGGCCAAGCTGCTGAGCAGCGACTCCAACGAGTACAAGGCGGCCGGCGGCAAGATGCCCATCAAGTGGCTGGCCCTGGAGTGCATCCGGAACCGTGTCTTCACCAGCAAGTCGGACGTGTGGGCCTTCGGTGTGACCATCTGGGAGCTGCTCACCTTTGGCCAGCGGCCGCACGAGAACATCCCGGCCAAGGACATACCCGACCTCATCGAGGTGGGTCTGAAGCTGGAACAGCCGGAAATCTGCTCGCTGGACATCTACTGCACCCTGCTCTCCTGCTGGCACCTCGATGCCGCCATGCGGCCGACCTTCAAGCAGCTGACGACCGTCTTTGCGGAGTTCGCCCGCGATCCGGGCCGCTATCTGGCCATACCCGGCGACAAGTTCACCCGCCTGCCCGCCTACACCAGCCAAGACGAAAAGGATCTCATACGCAAGCTGGCCCCCACCTCGGATGGCTCTGAGCCCATTGTCGAGGCGGATGACTATCTGCAGCCCAAGGCGGCGCCGGGTCCCAGCCACCGCACAGACGGCACTGACGAAATTCCCAAGCTGAATCGCTACTGCAAGGATCCCAGCAACAAGAACTCCAACGGTGGTGTCGTCGGTGATGATGAGACCGACTCGAGTGCCCGTGAGGTGGGTGTGGGCAATCTGCGCCTCGACCTGCCCGTCGACGAAGACGATTACCTGATGCCCACGGGCCAGGGCGCCGGCCCCAATAATAATAACAACCACATCAATCCCAACCACAACATGGCCGGTCCGGGCACCACCGCTGGCTACATGGATCTCATCGGAGTGCCCGTCAGCGTGGACAATCCCGAGTATCTGCTGAATGCGCAGGCCCTGAATGCGGCGGAGGCGCCCATACCCACGCAGACCATCGGCATCCCGGTGATGGGAGTACCCGGCACGCTGGAGGTGAAGATACCGATACCGGGCAGCGAGCCGACAAGCTCCGATCACGAGTATTACAACGACACCCAGCGGGAGCTGCAGCCGCTGCACCGGAACCGCAACACCGAGACCAGGGTGTAGCCGAATCCACTGCCAGAATGGAATATAAATTCTTGCCACAATACCCAAGTGCCTTTTGAAGCCAACGCCAACGTCAACGCCATGCGGATGCACGGGCACGTGCCTTTGACAGCTGTTATCATAGATAGACCCCCATTCGCCTGTATAAACCAGGGCCCAAAAGCCCAAGCCCTAGGATAGATGTGTACATTACTACCGATATTACTCTATAGTGTACTTAGCCCCCGCCCCCCTGCCCTGTGTAGTGCATAGCTTTGTGTATACTCGTACTTCTCTATCCTAACCCTAGCCAGCTAGTTGAGTAGTCAGCAAGGATCGTCGTCGCGGTCCTGCGCTTGTAGATTGTATGTAATTACGAGAACAAAACACCGATAGTGCATTTCTTAGACGCCTCCGCCACGGCGGGCCCATCGACTGGTCCGCGCGGAGGGCGCACACTAAGCTAAATTTATCTCTAGGTCAGCCGGCGGACTGTCGCCGAAGCATTAATAACTTCTTATCGTGAATAGTTACTTATAGTTAGTTAGTCGTTAGCCACTTTTAGCGCTTAGCTTCCAACTGTGATATAGACTGTAGGCATTAAATCTAAGGACTGCTAATGCTAATACGATGAACAAACCGAACGACTCGAAAACAAAACAAATCAAAATAATAATTCCAATTAATTGTGTGTGTACATACAGATGCAGATACAGATACTATATGCAGATGCAGATCTAGTTCCAAATCCCATTCGATATCGAGAAAGTTTGACAAACCAATCCCCTAGCGTGCCATGCGTCGATCGATGCGATTCTCCTAAAGATTTCGAATATTTGTTTGGCAACGTAGACAGCTGTTTGTAGCTGTCACTGTAACTAGTGTAAGTGCGCGCATTGCCGATATGTTAATGATCAAAGATATGCACATACATACATATGTATGTTGTATGTATAAATAATTCCCACATCAAAATACCAACCTAATAATTAATTGCATACGTTCTTCTTATACACAGATTTGTAGATTGGCCAAGTGCAGCTTTTGCATAATGAATATGTTACGTAACTTTAATTTAATTAGTCCATATATACTTACTATAAATCTAAACATATACAAAAATATAAAATAAAATCATTTTTGAATGTAATTAACAACTGCATTTAGTCATTATCAAATTTATGGAAACACCACCACCAAAAACACCTCAAGCAAGGGGGGAAATATCTGCCAGACAGGAGTTGCACGAGTTGTTATTTTTCTACTTTATTATTTTGCTAAATATTCCAAAAATTTAATTTCACTTATGCTTTTTGTTGCCTTTATTTAACGTCAAATACTTTCTATTCACTTTCTTTTTATATAATTTATTTCGTGACTCCACCCAGTTAAACAGCCCAAAAGTAGGCAAGTATAGTTCTGGGTTCCAGCCATTAACCATACAGTATATATGTAGATGTGCCAGTTCATACAACGAAAGTGGGGCAGCTGAGTTTTCAGCGTACGTTCCCAGGTCTTCGGCTCTGGGGCCGATCGCGTTCGGCTCTGGGATTGACCGCGATCGGCTCATGACGTGACACGTGACAAATCTACAATTTTTGGCCGTCTAATATCAGTCAGCTTTTGTCAGCGAGCAATTATAATTTTTCGTTTCATATCAGTCAGCTTTTGTCAGCGAGCAGCGAGCAGCCCCCTAAAGTATCGCCTATCAGTATATAATTTATTGCAGGTAAGTCGAAGCCGACGGCTTCACAATATGTAATTATAAAAAGTCGTCTAAATAGGGATATGCATATGAATGTCAATTTCAAATCAATTTATATATTGTATTTATTCCCACCCCCCCCCCAATTTCGGCAGGCGCCAGTGTCCCCAAACCCAGCTGGCCCACTTTCGGTTTAAGTGGCGCAAACATTGTAGAACTGTACGGATTGTGGTTCCAGCCCAGGCTGGCCCACTTTCGTTGTATGTGACTTATTTTAAAGCTCCAGCTCAAAAGTAGGCTACACACGCGGGTCACTTGTGACGACACATTTCGCGCTACGGTCACACAGTCCCATGGGTGTGCGCACGCGTGCTTTTATTTGAATTTAAATATTAATTTCCCTTTAGCGCCAAAGAATGAAACCAAAGCTTGAATTACACAATTTCTGTTTTGCTTTATTTAATTATTCAATGAGACATTTCGAATGGATCTGCTATAGAGGGGACGTGGCCACAAACAGTAGCTTGTTGGAATATTTGTGTATATATAGGATGTAATTGGATTCGTATTATAAGTGGTGTAGACTATTTAGACATCGGTTCGTATATGTGTATATTGAAAAAGTTATCCATAGTTTACTTGCATAAAAGGTTCAATTACATCAATTATGGTTAATGTTAATTTACGATAGTTTTTGTGTTGATGCGGATGCGAGGATGGGAGTGTGCGAGTGAGATTGGGTGTGGAGTGTGGTGGTACTACATTAAGACAATCTCTTTTTGGGTTGTCTGGCTAATTTTTATTCAATTAAATAACTCAAATTAGTTTTAGTTTGTAGGCGGTACTTAGAGAAAACAATATTCGACTTAAACGCAAATTTTAAAAAACAAAATCAGTGCTGGGCTCTTGGCTCACTAAATCCTAAAGAATACTAAACTCATGAGTGTCTGCGTCTCTGTCACTGTCTGTGTGTGTGTGTGTGTGTTTGGTCGAGGGCGGGCGCTTGCATGAGTGTGTGTGAGAGTGGGCATGGCCCAGCAAACTTAATTGATAAACATTAAATAACATTTGGATTCAAATCTCGCATCCCCAGCATAGGATCTAAGCATAAAAGACAAACTGCTCAGCACTTCAAGCAAGAGCGGCAAAGAGCGCTTTTCTTACGATTACCCGCCCCACGCCACCTGCCCCTGGAGCAGCAATTAGTGCCTAGTTCGTACATGGATTACACGGCCACGCCGCAGAGAGACTTGGCCGAGACTGCTACTTGTGCTGCTGCTGCTGCTGGAACCAGCACCAGACACAGATGCATCTGCATCTGCATATGGAGTGGGAGTGAGAGTAGGAGCTGGAGCTGGAGCTGCAGCAGAAGCATGAGCATATCACATTGGAACGCGCCGCGCCAGCAGATACTCGGAGAACTGCTGCCCCCCCACACTGGCCTCGATGGTAAAGCCGGCGTTGAGGAGTCGCGTCAGCACCTGGACCGAGTTCAGCTTACAGTAGCCATTGAGGGGGAATCGGATGATTTGCCCCCAGTCACCCTGGTTCCAGGACACGCCACTGCGACTCGACTGTGTCGCCTGGCTGGCCTCCGGGAAGAGTTCGTCGAGCAGTGCCCGTTCCGCCGACAGCATTATGCGCTCGCCCAGGTCCGGCGAGATGTGCAGAGCCACGACCTCGTAATTGCAGTCAGGCGACGCGCTGGTTCGTGGGCTTGTCTTAATGTGGCGTGCTGGTGGAGTGGGTGGCGCCACCAAATAGTTCCCATTGCGTACACGATCCTTGCGCATGCTCTCCAGCTGCTTAATCATCGCTGCAGGCGCCATTGAAAAACATCCAGCCATAGCAGAAGACACAAAGTAAGAGTGGGAAGAGGGGGAAAACGAAAATTAGCTCCCTTTAAACTCTGATAGAGACAACGAGATGGGTGGGGTGGGGGGTTAGGGTTGGGTATGTGTACTTACGCTCCACTTCGTAGTAGCGGGCCTCCTCCAGCAGCAGCTCCAGATCGGGAAAGTCCTCGGCAACCAGAAGTCTTGAGTTTCTCATAAAGTTCAGAATGTGACGGAACATGCCACCGTCACGATCGATGAAGTAGTGCTGCTTCAGCGAGTCCAGCACAATCGGTATCTGGCCGTTGAAGAGCTTCGCCAGCTTCGACTCTGGATACTTGGTGAGCGTTTCCAGGGAACTGGTATAGATGGTGCCGCCCACGTCGATGTGCACGGGTGCCGTGTAGCGGGAGGCGGCCGCCACGCATGGTATGCCAGTGATGGGCTTGTGGTTGCCGTGCAAATAGGAACTGGCCCCCGCCGAGCCGCCGCCTCCGGCTGCAGCAGCTGCCACAGCGGCAGCAGCCGCCGCCGCCCCGGGCAGCCCCAGCGGCGTCACTGAGGAACTGGCGGGCGGCGTCGGTGTGGGCGATGAGGAGTTTGAGATCGTTGGCGAGACGGTGGGCGAAGCGCTGCGGGCGAGTCCAATTTGCGAATAACCAATGAGTATTGTCCCAAGGGGTTTTGTGGGAGGCAGTGTGTGGGGCTTGTGTGTGTGTGTGTGTGTGTGTGTGTGTGGGGCTGGCATCGCACATCAATATGCGTAGGACTCACCTGATTTTAATGTCGCTTCTGGCGTAAATGCGGCCCGTGGATGATAAGTCGCGTGGCTCCAGGGCCTTGACATCTCTTTCGCGCTCTCGATCCATGTCGCATTTTTTCCTGCAAATTTTAATTAATTATTCATCCAGAGATTAGTCAATAGTTTGATTAGCTTACAGTACAGATCAAGTCCGCCACCACACCCACTCCCCCACACACAGTAAAACTAACCATGAGAACCAATTTATCCCCCCACCCCTTCCACAAGAGTGTACTCTAACAACTTTGAAGGACAGCAAACGTGACAACGAAAATGCAGCACCGCTGGCAGCTACACAGCCATCCACATCCACAGGGTCCGTTCCATTCCCCATAAAGGTTCACACACAGCGAGAGACAGAAACAGAAAGAGAAAGAGAAAGGGGCAGGGACAGGGACAGACAGGCAGAAAAACAGAGTGTGGAGAGAGGAGTGTAGGGGGGCAAGTCAAGCTTGGGTTTATATTTCATATGGACCATAGTCTTGGGTCGATTGTGTGGGAATATTTGGTTTTTCACTGCGTTTCCATTGGGGGGGCACACAGCGCTCTCCCTCAGGGGATCGACTCTCCGCAGCTTCGGTCGTGGACAAGACAAAATCGCCGCACCGCCATCGGTGGCGGGGGCGGGGGCGGGGCTCGGGGATGCAGTTAATGTTAACGGCCATCGAATGCATCGGTTTGGCCGTGGATGTGGCCTCTGCTGCCCGTCATTTAGCCGCGAGTGTTGCGAGTCGATTTTCACACGAAAATCACATTGTTTGGAGCATCGTTATGGATGTGGGTGGCGCAGGGGGGCAGGAGAGGGTAGCTGCAGTGGAGGCCATGTGAGACCGTGGCTTGGGCACCCACTAATTATGATGTGTCAGTCGAATGCGTGCCACTCGACGTATACGCAATGGCCAGGAGCACCCTGCTGCCCCACCAAAACGAAGTCAACAACAATTAGCAAGAGACCCTTGCAGCATATGTATCTATTTCCATCTCTATCTATGTGTATATTCATCCTGCTTCGTGCAGCTGCCTCCACAGCACATCATCATCAACATCATCCGTTTTATCAGGATCAGTTTCAGTCATCCGACTCTCCTCCAGAGACACAGGCACTAATTAATAAAACTCAATCAGGCGGAGCACTAGAACGAGTTTACGTTTATTTATGACAAATGTTCTCATGTTTTTTGCACATTAGCCGAGCCTCAGACTGACGACTGACTGAAGCAAAGATTGACTGACTGATGGACTGATGGAGGGTCGGACCAATGCTCTCTCCGGATATGGATGCAAGTAACTTGCTTCAAATTACTGAAAGGGGTTCTTGCTAACAGCTGCTGGAATACAAGAGATATGGAATGGAAAAGCTAAAAGCAATTTAGCCAGAAACAATGTCAAGGAATTATGCAGAAAAGGCTGGTGGAATCTGAGGCATACCTATAGCAGTGTTGCACTAGATAATCTTGCTTTAAATATATTTAGAATAAGTTTACTGCTTTAATTGCAATCTTTTCCCAACCAATACATAGCTGTCGAGTAGATGCTCCTCCAAATGGTATAACTTCTCTCCGTTCGCATACCGATACAGGGAGTACAACTATATTCTGCCATTGATTACCTGCCAAAGAGCATCCGATCTTCGCCCAATTTTATCTCTGCTTCATCTGGCATCTATCCTAAACAAGTTTGCTTTTTTCTAAATGTTTGAAGCCCCGCGGCTCTTCGACTGGATCTGGGGCTGTGGCTGTTTCTGTGGCTCCGGCTGGGGTTGGGGCGGGGGTTGGGTAATTACGATTTGATTAACTTTAACTACATGAACATTCAAATGCGAATGAGCACGGGAAGGGGAAGGCGGATGAGAGGTACGGTACAGAGAGGGTAAAACGAATGGGACTCCTCCACAGAGAGAGAGAGAGAGCGAGAGAGAGAGGAGAATAAAGAGTGGATATGGAAGAGGGGTTCAAGCAAATAAAAACTAAGAGCAGATCCACAAAAAATTGCACAAAATAAATGTCTGCAAGGCATACTCATGGCAGCCACACTACAGCTACCAGAGAGCGGTGCGCCAGAGGAGGGGTTTTGTGGCAGGCACAGGGGAAGACTATCCACAGAAATAAACTGAAGTTTTTATTAATTTACAGCAATTATAAAGCGTGAGTAATGCGTTCAATCAAACATTGGATATTCGTTTATGGCAAAATGGCTTAATGGGTGCCCCAGTCCCTCGCCTCTGCCCCCTGCTGCCCCTTACCATAAAACATTCAACCTGCCACACTCCCCACCACACCTCTTCAACAGTCCCTGCCCTGCTCCGACAGCTGCAGCAGCACCAGCACCAGCAGCAGCAACAGCAGAAGTTGCAGCCACAAAATATGCAATTCCAGAGCCTGGCCTCTTGCCACACACATACAAACAATTCAATTTCAATTGCTTTGCGGCCCACTTGAGCAGGTGGAACAACAACGACATATACACACACCACACACACACACACACACACACCACACACACATACACAGATATGTGGACACCCAGAGCCTAACGGTATTGTATATAAGACAACCACTGCAGCTTGCATCCTATTCTAGTCCATTATTGCCCCCGGCGGTATCTTTTCTATGCCGTGTAGCAGCAGGATGAGCACAGCAGAGCAGAGCCGCATAGGCAGAGGCAGGCCTGGACTGGTGCTGCAAAGGGGGGCGGAGTTGGCAGAGTTATTCGCAGTGCCTTTGGTTACACTTGAGTCGGAGCAGAGTCGCTGGCTGTTGCCGAGTCGACTCTGAGAGATGAGCGCGTGAGGGCATCGTTGGCGCCACTGGCAGCAGTGAGTCACGCCCCCATCTCGGTGCCAAGATGAATGCTGAAGAGCTTCCTCTGCCGTTGCCATATTTGTCAACCAACTGCTGTGTCCGCCCGCTTCACTGCTTGCACAATTTCGAGTGGAGCGGCCTTTCTATGGCCTTTCAATCAAATGACATCTTTCCGAAACTGGAGCTGGAGCTGCAGCTTTTCTGACTCGGAATCCGGCTCGGCTCTGGTCTGGTTTTAATGGCCAATGCCATTAACTCTTGACTCTTGAAATTGCATATTGCCGGCAATATCTTCATCTGGTACAGCACTTTCCACATGCACCAGACACAAAAGACACACGGACACAAACTAGATAGATGGGAGACTGGAGGTGGCAGTGGCAGTGCCACTCCGACTGAGCTTATTAGTTTGGCATTGTACGGATTGAGGCGTGTCTGAGGCCGAATATCAGGTTGCTGCTGCTCCTCAGCTCCTCTTCTCCGGTTGCCTGGCCACCCGAGGGCGAAACATTTTCGAAAAAGGAATTATGGACAAAAGTGGCCGTTGGCACATGCTCAATGCTCGATGCTCGATGGTGAATCCTGCTGGGGGGATGGACATGGTTCTGCCCAGGCAATTCCCCAAACGACACGACTACGACCACAACTTGTGGTCCAGGGCTGCAGAGTCCCTCCCAAAACCAGGACAAAAGCGAAAACAAAAGCCAAGAAATGAGCTAAAGTGCAACCCCACTCACACACACACACACAGATGAAGGTAGAAACACACACCTAGGCAGCGAGGGGGGGATGATGAGGTCGCATCAGACGTTGACGACTGCGACTGCGACGCTGACTATGTAACCCTAGAAAATGCCCTGCGGCTAGCCAACCTTCCGCACACAAAGGCCAGACCAGACAGCGTGAGTGTCCTGGTTGCAAGAGGCAGCAAAAGAGAGGGCAAGAAAGAGAGAGAGAGAGAGACATAGGGAGACAGTGTTGGCTGAGCCAGAGCGAGAGGAAGCGAAAAAGGGCAAAAGCTGACTAGGCCCCCGGCGATCGTTTGGAATTAGTGCGGAAATCATGGATGGATACGGAACGAAACCAAGCAAGGAAAGCAAGCAAAGCCGAGGTCCTGCTGCTGTTGCTCGAGCTCCTGCTCCTGCTCCTGCTGCCGCTCCTCCCAAGGCGATGTACTACAGGCAAGTCCCGTCCATGTATGCTCGATGCGAGGGAATTCCAATCAATGGCCGCCACTCGGTCTGTGCCTCATTTGGCCGCCTGTGCTGGGGCTCCACTGTAGTCGAGTAAGGTGCTTGGTGTTTGGGATTGAAACTTTGGGTTTTCGTCCCGCTACTCCGCTCCTTCGCTCTTTCTATGGTCCGTGGGTGTCCTCTGGGGCTTTGCTGGCTTCTACATGCGAGTCCATGCATGTGTGGGAGCCTCCTCATTCATTTATCCTTGCAGCGCCAAGGGCAACGAGAGGAGAAGCAAGCAGCAGGAGGAGCTACAGAAACAACAACAAAAGAGCAGGAACACAGGCAGTAACCACAGCGGCAAGGATACTCCTCCCAAGTCCCAACTCCCAACTGCCGCTCGAACTCCTGCTCCAGCTTTGGCACAGGAAGGGCAGAACTTTTGCGATTGGTAGGTAAGTCTAGTCGTGTCCGCTCTCCTGGCTGTGGCTAACCCTCTCTCGAACAGATACGAGACCCCCCCACCCCCTGCCATATGTGTCCATGGGTCTGGGCGTTTGTTCTGCCTGCATTTAAAGATATCATACCCAAAGTTCTTCTCGGTCTCACAGCCCCAATGCTCCCCAGGCATTGCTCCTCTCGAGAGGAGAACCACAAAATAAAAAAAATATATATATAGAAAAATAAAAAAAAAAGAAGCAAAACGAAAGTTTTCGAGGCAAAATCTTATCTCAATTTTAAAACGCTTGCGGCACAAGCAGTGCGACTCAGTCGACGTCAGCAGCGCTGCGATTGTTGCTGCAGCAGCAGCAGCAGCAGCAGCAGCAGCAGTGGATTCCACCTCGAAAGTTAATATGAAAACATTGAGAACTCTTCCCTTCTCCGAGGCACAGCTTGTGCGTGTGTGTGTGTGTGTGTGCTTTATGAGAAGATTTATCTGACAACTGCAACACTTGCAGCACGAGGCAAGATTATATTTGCGGGGCAAGGCTATGGCTAAGGGGGGATTGCGGTAGGGGAGGGGGGTTCCAATTAGGCAAAGACTTATTCATGGGAGCGCAAAAGAACTAAAACTTACGACTCCGGAGGAAACCAGGAGAGAGAGAGAGAGAGCGAGATAAGGGAATGCGGAGCGTTTTGTGTACATAACAAAGATAAACATAAAGTTAACACACACACACACACACACACATAAAAAGATAAAGAGAGTGAGAAAGCGGCTGAGCGTTGGGCAAAAAATCGGCAAAATGTCCTTGGGGCATGTTGAGAAGCAGCCAATGCCTCCAGTCATGGGTCCCCTATCCATCCACCGACATGACTTGCTTTCGTTTCGCAGCTGCCCAAAACCAAAAACCCAAAAATCAAAACGCTGATGAGCAGGCAAATGAAAAAGTTGGCCAGAGCCAAAGTAAAACACAAAAAGCCAGAACTAGGAGTCTCTCTACCGCCTCCAGACGGGCTGCATTGCCCGTTGCCACGCACACACAAGCACAACTTCTGCGTCCCCTCGTCCTAGTCGTCGTCGTCATCGTCGGCGTCTTTTGCCCAAAGGGTCTACAAACTGAGGCAGGAGTTGGAGCTGAAGCTGAAGCAATAACTGGAGATGGAGCTCAAGCTTCAGCTTCAGCTGGAACTGCGGCATATGGGGAAATCAGTCCACGCTCCGCCCTATGCCCTGTGCCCTGCACTGTTGCCTGCCGCTGCTACGAAAATTGTTAGCCAAAGTTGCAGAATGTGTGGGCCATGGCAAATTGTACAAATATATGCGATATATATACATATATATACATATGGCAGATATATATGTTTGTTCGTGTGTGTGTGTGTGTGTGTGTGTGTGTGGAAACGAAGTCTGGGGAAAAGTTGAGTGAGTGAGCTGGAACTGGAGCCCCGGCGCATACACTGAAGCAGCAGATATTAAAACGCTGCGAGGCTTTCAAAAATAAACTTTGAAAAATTTATTAGAAAATATTAAATAAAAACGACGATTGCGCTGCATATGGCTCACTCCGCAGCAGCAGCAGCAGCATCAGATGGATGAGGAGGGGGGCTCCACATATGCAGAGCAAACATTACTCAGGCAACTCGCTCGCTGGCAGACGGTTCCAGGCACTTGCCACATGGCACAGAGTTGAAAAAAAAAAAATAAACTGTACAAACAGCAAGAACAACAGCAGCAGCACGACGACAAGAAAAACATAAATATATTCAGAGGAGAATATATCTAGATACTATAAGCTATATGCGAATGTATGGTGTATGTGTGTATCTGACGGATATCTCTACCTCTACCTTGGGATAGGATGTTTTTATTGCTGCTAAATTCGAAAATTGAATTGTAAGTCAAAAGCGCAAAGGATAACGCAAGGGAAACGTTGCTAAATTGCCGTAAAGGCAAACATTGCGCATACGCAGCGTTGTGCGATGCGATGTATGAAATGGTTATTACACCACCACCACAACCACCAGCAGGATGGGGTAGATGGTTCAACAGAGGAGCAGCAATAGAGCTACAGCGCCAGTGATTGCCTGTGATACTTAATCAAGTGTACATAATAATTAACAGCCATATTTCCGCTTGACCAGTGCTCAAACAATGACCAGAGCAGCCATTCGAATCCGAAACCATTCAGCCATATCCTCTGGAGTCCTGCAACTGCAACTGGCAGTGGCACAGGCAATGGGCAGGCCTAATTGGTGCAATTTGAGTGTGCATATCGTACAGCCACAGCGCCAGATGCAGATGCAACACAAAGGCAACTGAAACAATATGCACTTGCCATTTTCAGTGGAAGCGCGCTGCAGCGACGGCAGGTGCATCACCCATAGAATTCGAGTACTCAAGAGGGTACTGTACTCCAAGGGTATGCACGAATTTTAAATAGCAGGGGATTATTGTAAATGGGGAATTGAGAGCAGAAGAATTATTGGTATATTATGTGAAAAAAAACACAGAAGGACTAGTCACCGTACAATAGCAATCGGCTCTACAGTACTAAACTTTTTTAACTATAGTTGGAGTGAGCTTATACTCCAAGTTTATTGGATAAAATCTGTGGGAAAACGTTGGTTGAAACAACGAAAAAATATTAAAAGTATTGATACAGATTTAGTTGGGAATTAACAACGAAACTAATGGAATAGCTACGAGTATTTTTAAGCAGAGACTAACGGACAAAGAATAGCTATAAGAACACATAGAATAATTTTTGTTATTAACATTTCTCTCAGAAATTATTAAGGAGATCGATCAATGGATCAAACATCTGCCTTAAAACAGGAAAATCCATAGTCGTTGCTCCATTTTGAGGAGCTGCAATGGTGCTGAGCGGCAAATGGCTGCGCCATGTTGATGCTGGTAATGATGCCGAATTGCAGCTTAATTAACACACAGCGTGTTAAGAGCGATTGTGCTCCGAGTGCAGCGCTGGCAGACCTTCGACGGGCAGGCAGTCATTCAAATCCAGCCACAGCCGCAGCCTTTGACTATTGGCATGTAATGGAAATCACTTTGCCACTGGAGGAGCACCACAGGCAGCAGTGGGGAGTGGAGGCGCTAAGAGGCAGTGGCACGAACAGTAGCAGTTGCAGTTGCAGTGGCAGTGGCAGGTATAGACTATGTAAACGCGAATCCAAGTAGCTGAAGCCTGAATCCGCAGAATGAAAACAAATTAGCAGCTGAAGAGCAGAACACGACAATGGGCGGGAAGAGAAGTAAAGGCAGGACGTAGAAGGCAAAGGCCTTGCCTGCCACGAATTGTGGCACAGCGAGGCAGGCAAACAGACAAACAAACAAACAAGACTTTGACTGCGACTCCGCCCACTCGCACATGGCGAGGCCACTTTTTGTGGCAGGCATGCAAAAAGCAAAGGGAAACGAGCACAAGATGAAACCAAAACCAAAAACCAGTTGCTTCCACACGAGGCACGAGACACAGCCACAGAGATAGAAAGAGAGAGAGATAGTGAGAGCGAGAAGGAGAAGGCAAACTAGCGAAGGTCGCTCCTTGCTCCTCCTTCCTCCTCCTTCAGCGGGTTTCCCTATTTGAATACAATTCCGCAGAATGCAGCTCTCCCGCTTTGAACTTTGCCTCATGACTTGGCTCCGGCTCAATGGCACAGACGGACGGAGGACAACTCTCACGGACCGTCGATTCCCTTGCTAAACAAAAATTGTGTTGTATGCTGTATGTACTCTGCCCCGGGGGTCATCTTTTGGCCGCTTAGTTTTCGACCAGCCACAACACAAGCAACGAACCAACGAACCAACCGGTCACAGCTGCCCCTGATACATCCCCCAGTGCCTGCTCCATTCCCCTCTTCATCTGCAACAGCACCATCGTATTTTATAGCCTTTAAGGTAGAAAAAATAATGCGACTCGTTCTCGTCTGCACACATAACTCAGCCGCGGGCTAAGGTTGCCCAAAAGCGCCTCCGGGGTATTGGGTATGATTTTTTCGCCTCTCTCCCTCTCCCCCGTGAGACCCTCCTCCACTCTACTCCACTCCACTCCCCATCTCTTCTTACTTTTGTTTATTTCTCCTTTGGTGCGGGCACAGAGAGCACTTGAGGCGCATAATTTTTTTGTTTTTTTTTTAAACAGTCTTCGTTTATGGCGCACAATTTCTGACTTGGCATGTGGGAGAGACGAAAATCAGCTGCCTGCGGCATTTTTGGCCAAACCAAACGAACAACAGCAGGGGCAACATCGGGGGTAAGGGTAAGGATAAGGGAACCAGGTCTGGTGGCATGCAACTCGGACTGTCGATGCTGTTGTTGTGTGTCAAAAATTCGTTTATTACAGAATCTTTTTTAAACAAATTTATTGGCCAGCAGCAGCTTCGAGGCGGTCTGGGATTTTGTTTGGCAGTGGATGAAAGGTTTTCGCTTACCGTTTGGGGCAGGAGGAATCCACCGTCAACGGTGATCGTTGATCCAATGCAACAAACGGAGTCCTGTGCGGGCGAGAGAAATCGAAGGAGAAGTGTTAGTAAAATGTTCCAAGCGAAACTGTTAAGAAAAAGAGTGATCACACTGTGATGACACGGAATGATCTCTAATTAACAATCTCCTTCTTTTTTAACAAATTGAATTGGATGAATAATGAATAAAAAATAACAAATGATCGCTTAGAGTCTCTCAAAGCAATTGAAATTATAAAGATCGTGATCATCAGCTGGGGATATTGATAGAGGTTGAGTGGGCAGGGCAGACAGTTGTGTTATGGGGTATTTGGAACTCACAAAAAAGTCGGTATATTTAGGAAATGCACTTTAACTCTTTTTTATTACAACGCGCGCGCAGATAATAGTTTTCGGGCCTCCAATATGGGATCTGTGGATCAAATCGGGTCTCGTCTCTGGCTTCTGGATCAAAACGTTGATCAAATAACAAATACGCGCGCGAAGCCGCTTAAAAACAATCGCACTCTATCTCTATGCTATCCGTTTAAATGTTTACTTCCGTTTCCGCTTGTGGCGAACGCGAAACCGTTTCGTTTGAATGTTTCCTTTCCTACTGTCAAGTCAAGCGCTTTACCTTACTTGCATGCGCGGATGTTGGCTGAGAAATGTTCATGAGTTTCGGGGCGGCAAGTTGGTTGGTTGCCGCTAGTCTGGTGGCTCGACCGGGTTGCGTTCGAACTTGGGTTTGAGCTCGAGTTGCGTCCTCCCCACTGTGCGGGTGGAGTTCGTTGCTGGCGTCTTCTGTACGGTAGACGACCTTGAGGGAGAGCGAGCGAGCCAGCGAGAGTACCAGTGGACGAGTGTGTACGTGTGTGTGTGTGTGTTGTGTGCGTGTGTGTGTGCTGCGTGTGTGAACGTTTAATAGTCTATTTCCGGTTTAAGTGCTGCCACTGTTCTCCCCTGTTGTTGTTGTTGTTGTTGCTGTTGTGGTGGCATGCAACATAAGCCGATGTTGCAATTAACATGGTAACTGTAAATAGAGCAATTGGCCCGGCTTATAAATCGTTGAATGGATTAAATGCCAGGGCGATTGTGCGTGTGTATGGGTGGAAGTGCAATTTCATGAGGCAGGAACACATCTGATGAGTATGTATGTATGTATACAACCATTTCCAATAATTGTAAATATCAAAGTATGATGTTTGTTTGTTTGTCTGTGTGCGACACTCTTTCTACGTGTGTATGTATGTACTTTTGCCTCTGCATGGCCATGCATGGGTATGGGTGCGAGGTGTGTGTGTGTGCTTGTGTTAATGACAAAGCATAGAACGCTGGGGCCGCCGGCCAAACGAAATGAAACTTTGTGCGGCATCAGCTCCAGAGACTTTGAAGCAGAAGAAGCAGCACCAGCAGCACCGGCACCAAGAACGGGCCAACAGCCAACGGCGCCCGGGGGCACACAACGAGCGACGACTGCGGGACAACGAGAACGTCGACGGAGGCAGCTGAAATATTTTGTTGCCCCGCGGCAATGCAAAGAAAAACTTGTGATAAATATGCCCCAGGCCATGTTTCAAAACACAGCCAAAGAGCCAGCAGGGAAAAGTAGCGGCTGGTTGGGTAGAGAGGGAGCAACAGAGATCGAGCGAGAGAGAGAGCGAGAAAGAGGGAGGGAGGCAGAGAGCGATGGGCAGTGAGCGGGGGAGTGCTGTGAGGCCCTGCAGTTAGGCAGCTGTAATTAAAATGAGTGCAAACTCTTGCCCAGCCCACCCAACACCCACCCCACACCCACAACACACACCCACTCGTCTTCCTGCTACTCCCCCGCACCCCCACTCAACCCCATCTTGCAGCGCTGTCGCATCATTTTTCATTGGCAATTGTTTGGGTTGCATCTCCTCGGGTCACATTCATTTTGTAGCACGAGTATATGCACCGCTCCGTCATAATATTCCACTATTTGAACACCGCTGCAGCCAATGCTGCTGCTGTTGCTGCTGCTGCTGCTGCTCGTGATCCCTCCCAGAGATGGCCGCGTGACACGAGGCAGCCTCCTCTGTGGGGCAGACTCCCATGAGTTCATCCCTCACGCTGCCATCTCCCGTGTTCCCACTGACATTTCAATTTTTCATATTTTATCAGAGTTTCGGCCTACGACGAGTGGAAATTGTTGCAATTTTATCGCTCATTTCACTCATTCAGCCTGGCTGGAGGGTTGGACGAAGAGTAGGTGGCGGTAGGGGGATTGTGAGAGGGTGGACTGGGGGGTGGTGGTCTTGTATTGTTTCAAGCGTGCGCTTGGAGTATGGCATGGGGTGGGTTCATTTTTATTTTGATGTCGCTTTGGGTTTTTGCCATTTTAAATATTTTTTTTAATCACAAGCTCACGCACACACACACTCATTCAGACTCACCCACACCCCCCCACACATGCAAGCAGCCACAGTCACTCGCATATGTACATGTATGTATGTATGTATGTATGTGCACATACACATTCGTCTTATACATATGGCAATACCAATATTTCAAGCCAATTTGCTGCAGTTAGCCGCGAGCGGACTGCCAACAAAATAATTCGACAAAATGTGTGCGGCGCGCTTTATGCTTTATTGTTTGGTTCGCCCGAGGGGGTCACAGAGAAAGAGCATGAGGAGAGTGGGGTGCTGGGGGGGTGTGTGAAATGGGGGATGAGAGCAGAGCAAAGCTGCTGCTGCATCTGCAGGACTCCATTATAAAGCATACTATACTATATGTACATATGAATGAAAGTGTGTACATATATGTATTGGACATGATTATATGTATGTACATATGCATGTACATATGCTTGGGAATAAACGAAAGAGTGCAGAAATTAACAGCGACATTTCTCCTCCCCCCTGCCCTTTTGTAATAATTTGTTGATGGCTTTTTAAAGTAGCCCATCTCCATCTCCATCCGCATCTCCATCTGCTGTAGCTCCCACTATGCCACCCAGTTGCATATTTGTTCATGACTTGTGCATTTTGCGTGTTAATCAATATACACATACGAGCAAGTACGAACAGCAGTCCGGAGTATTTTCAGCAGTGTGTATCAGCAAAAAAAAAACCACATTTAAATTCCGACGCATATGCTGACATTATACGCGCATTTTTATTTGCTGCCACATGCCCCATTCTACGCCCATTCCGCTTGGCAGCATCAGAGCATCATCAGCATCATTATTGTGATTTTTTTTATTATTACTATTATTAATGTGAATGTGTTTGGCTGTACACACAACACACACAAACACGCATGGACAGAGAGCACATCATCAGAGGGAAGCTGTCGGAACTTTAAACAAGTAAAACGTCAAGTAAGTCGATATGTCGACGATAGGGTTATCCCTTTTACTTGGTAAGTATCCAATGAACTCTCTTTAAATGAGGAATCTAAAAGAGGAAGATCGTGGGATCATTGGTAACAGTTTCCTGCTAAATGGGAAGGTTGGTTGGATGATACTCGCAATATGGTAGGTAGATGGAAATACATACACTCACACGATTGCAATATACCCTTGTTTTCCACAGAGTTAAGGGGTATAAATATATGTATGTATATATATTTTTTTTATTATTAACGATACTTGGCGAACAACACCAGCAATAGCAGCAACACCAATAGCAGCAAAAGCAACAGCAAACCACAACACAAATATATGAACATTGTACATACATACATATGTGTATGCAATATACGAGTGTGTGTGTATGCACGAGTAAATGTAGTGTGTGGATGAAAAGGCTCATAAAATTCACAATGTCTGGCCGCAGGGCTTTTACTTAATGATGCCATTTTTGCCGCTGCGGCCTGAAATTCACGTTAAATTTTTAACGCACGACCGAACTGCAGCAGCAGCAGCAGCAGTGGGGCAGGGGCCACATATCAAGCATCAATTCATCCATCCATCCAACCACCCGTCCATATGTGGCACAACATTTACATTAACATTTGAATGATAATCATTTTACAGCCAGTGCCCCATTAATGTTATTTATTTGTATAACGGGGGGATAACGGGGGGATATTGGGGGCACCAGCAGACGTCTTCCAGTGCCACCAATAGGCGTGTGGGGTCTGATTTCTTCAGAGAAATTCGTCTCTGTCTTAGGTGCATAAGGTGCTAAGACATACATATGTATGTTGTGCAGTATCAGCACTTGGCGCCAACACTTCTCCTCTATTTAGCTATATCTTACGATGCGGATAATGTATGCCGTTCAGAGATGTGACTTGTATAACTGTAGCTTCTTCAATTATGATCTCTGGGGCCCCGTTCCTTTGAGAACTCCCATGGCATTATACTGCCCTGCCCCTGGTGAAAGCTCTCTTGTGAGTGTGTGGCAACTGTTTGAAGCATCACGTTTAATTGTGGACACTTATGAAATGGGAGGGTCCGTCCGGGTGATGGGGCCAGGAGTCGATTGCCGACATCCTTTTGTCATTAGCAATGCGTGACACTTGTCATTAACTGCATAATGATTCATTCCTATGCAGTTGGCTAACTTCTCTGACTCTGCCACACACACACACATGTATAATAGCTGTGTGAGTGCGCAGTATATGTGTGTGTGTGTGTGTGTGTGTGCATAATTTTAATGATTTACAAACTAGCCCGTTGGCGCTTTTAGCTCGAAAACTGACAGTTGATATCCAAAGACAAGCAGAATGAGGGGAATATAGCGCAAAAAGAAGATATTGCCGCGAGTTATGAATGGGAGAGTCGGCCAGAAAGGGAGGGCAACATACTGAAAGAGTGACAGAGAAAGACAGTGCGAGGGAGAGAGCAGGGACCAGTTCTTTATTTCCAGGTTTTGATGGATAAAAGGGGTGGGACAGGGGCTAGAAAGAGAGAGAAAGAGAGAGATGGCTGCAAGAACGGAAAAGGATTGCTCGAACATGCAACCAAGAATGCCACAGGCACTGCAGCAGCAGCAGCAGCAGCCGCAGCAGAGGGACAAAAAATGTGGAAGTTAAAAATAAGTTGGGGCTCGAGCTCGGGCTCGAGTGGCTGGCGGCCTTTGCAGTTTGCATATAATGAGGGTCTCGTGGAGAGGCATGACCCGCCTCTGCATCTGCGGGGCGGCCTCCTGGTTGTCACCTGGCTGGCACCTGGCAGCTGCTGGACACACATTTTGGGGACAAAAACTGTGATTCTGTGGCAAGATCATAATTATAGGGATGGCTTTTTAGTGTTGTTCTTAAATTATATTATGCAGCTCTGGCATTGCAATTTATGCCGGCTGCAGCTGTGGCAACAGTTGTTGCAATGTGCTGCCCCAGCCCCCTAATTTGACACAACACTTGTGCAAACACGTGTGAATGATGCATCCTTCAGTGCTGCCTGCCTCATGCTCCATGCAACAAGTTTCTGGCAGCAACAAAAGCAAACAAGCAAACAACAACAAAAAAATCAACTGTTATTCACCTGCTCCGTGGTCCGTTGTTCCAACAGCAACACAAACACTGATCCAGAAATACAAAGATACAAACACATACAAGCACACAGCCCCAAACTACACTCTCAAACACTCTCGAACAGAATGCTCCATGGAGCATGGAGCGTGTAGCGTGGAGCAAAGACGACGAAAGTCGTGTGTTTGTGGCGTCTAAAACGGTTTGTTTGTGGGGTCTGTCTGTCGAACATGTTG